TGGAATAACGGAGCTGGAATAACGGGGCAGGGCTGGGGGAAGCCTCGTTCCCTGGAAACTCTTTGGGAATTTCTGGGTGCTGGCTCTGCCAGAACACACCCWGGGGATTATCAGCTGTTTGTTTGCACTTCCTGCCTGATCCAGTTTGCCAGCCCYGTCCTATTCATCCCTTCCCTGCACAGAGGCATTTCCCGGCCAGGCTGGGCTGGGACAAAGGGACAAAGGCCACCTTTCTTCTGGGGCTCCTCCCAGGTGACACTGAGGAGTCRCTGAACAATTGCAGGGCAGCTGCTCCGTTCTCCACCCAGGGAACCAGCCTGGAGCTCCTGCGGGACCCTCGGGGCTGTGGCCACCCTAAAGAGTCACTTCTGATCCTGGGGAGGTCCCCAAATGCCAATCTGGACCCCGGGGACACCCCAAAATACCACTCCTGATGCTGGAGAGGTCCCAAAGGACCAATCCTGATGCCAGGGAGACCCCAAAATACCACTCCTGAATGCAGGGAGGTCCCAAAGGGCCAATCCTGACCCCAGGGAGGTCCCAAAGGGCCATTCCTGACCCCAGGGAGGCCCCAAAATGTCACCTCCAGCTCTAGGGGGACCTCAAAAATGTCACCTTTAATCCTGAGGAGGCCCTAAAATGTCACCTCCAACCCCAGGGAGGCCCCAAAGGGCCACTGCTGACCCCAGGGAGGTCCCAAAATGTCATCTTTAATACTGAGGAGGCTCCAGAATGTCACCTCCAGCTCCAGGGAGACCCCAAAATGCCACTCCTGACCCCAAGGAGGCCACAAAATGACACTCCTGACTCCAGGGAGGCCCCAAAATGTCATCTTTAATACTGAGGAGGCCCCAAAATGTTACCTCCAGCTCCAGGGGGACCCCAAAATGCTACTCCTGATGCTAGGGAGGCCCCAAAATGTCACCTTTAATCCTGAGGAGGCCCCAAAATATCACCTCTAGCCCTGGGGAGGACCCAAAGCACCACCTCCAACTCTGGGCAGACTCCAAAAAGGTACCTTCAACCCAGAGGAGGCCCAAAAAAGGCACCTCCAGCCCCAGGAAGGCCTCAAAATGTCACCTCCAACACTGGGGAGGCCCCAAAATGTGACCTCGTTCCCCAGAAAGGCCCAAATTATCACCTTTAATCCTGAGAAGGCCTCAAAATGTCACCTCCAGCCTCAGAGAGGCCCCAAAATGTTCATCTTTAATACTGAGAAGGCCCCAAAATGTTCATCTTTAATACTGAGAAGGCCCCAAAATGTTACCTCCAGCTCCAGGGGGACCCCAAAGTGCCCCTTCTGACCCCAGGGAGACCCCCAAAATGACACTCCTGATGCCGGTGAGGCCTCAAAATGCTACTCCTGACCCCAGGGAGGCCCCAAAACATCACCTTTAATCCTGAGAAGGCCCCAAAACATCACCTTTAATCCTGAGAAGGCCTCAAAATGTCACCTCCCAGCCCTGGGAAGGCCCCAAAATGTCACCTTTAATCCTGGGAAGGCCCCAAAAAAGGCACCTCCAACCCTGAGAAGGCCCTAAAATGCCACTCCCAGCCCCAGAGAATCCCCAAAATGTCACCTTTAATACTGAGAAGGCCTCAAAATGTCACACCCAGCCCCAGGGAGGCCCCAAAATGTCATCTCCAGCCCTGAAGAGGCCCAAACACGTCACCTTTAATCCTGAGGAGGCCCCAAAATGTCACCTTTAATCCCAGGGAGGCCCCAAAACATCACCATTAATCCTGAGAAGGCTTCAAAATGTTACCCCCAGCCCCAGGGAGGCCCCAAAGAGCCACTCCTGACCCCAGGGATACACCAAAATGCCATTCCCGACCCTAGGGAGGTCCCAAAGGGGCAATCCTGTCCCCAGGGAATCCCCAAAATGTCACCTTTAATCCTGGGGAGGCCCCAAATATCACCTCCAACCCTGGGGAGGCCCTAAAATGCCACTCCCAGCCCAGGGAACCCCCAAAATGTCACCTCCAGCTCCAGGGGGACCCCAAAATGTCACCTTTAATACTGAAGAGGCCCCAAAATGCCACCTCCAACCCCGGAGAAGCCCCAAAGCAAAGGCCGGAGCATGGAGGCACCAGCCCATACAGGAACAAGGTGCCAGAAACAACAAACAAAGAGAATCCAAACACCTTCCCTACACTGATCACCCCATTCCCAGCCAAAAAACACCTCCATCCCTGGGGAAACACATCCATGCCCATCCCTGACCCAGCTTGGGGTCTCAGATACTTTATCAGAGTGCGGTTTCTGATATTTTACTTGGTTTTGAAATCCTCCACGAGGTCCTGCATGTTTTTGAGCTCTCCCTCGAGGCGTCCCTTGTCCGCCAGGAGCCCGTCCAGCTGCCGCCGMAGRTTGTTGATGTAGCTCTCAAACATGGGAGCGATGTTGCTCCGCGTCGTTTTCTGCTCCTGGAGGAGGCTCCATTTGGTCTCCAGCATCTTGTTCTGCTGCTCCAAAAAGCGAACCTGGGGAGGGAGCANGGAGACCCCAAAACGCCACTCTTGACCCTGGGGAGGCCCCAGATGCTTCTCCTGATGCTGGGGAGGCCCCAAAATGTCACCTCCAGCTCCAGGGGAACCCCAAAATGCCACTCCTGATGCTGGAGAGGTCCCAAAGGACCAATCCTGATGCCAGGGAGACCCCAAAGAGCCATTCCTGACCCCAGGGAGACCCCAAAATGCCACTCCTGACCCCAGGGAGGTCCCAAAGGGCCATTCCTGACCCCAGGGAGGCCCCAAAATGTCACCTCCAGCTCCAGGGGGACCTCAAAAATGTCACCTTTAATCCTGAGGAGGCCCTAAAATGTCACCTCCAACCCCAGGGAGGCCCCAAAGGGCCACTCCTGACCCCAGGGAGACCCCAAAACGCCACTCTTGACCCTGGGGAGGCCCCAGATGCTTCTCCTGATGCTGGGGAGGCCCCAAAATGTCACCTCCAGCTCCAGGGGGACCCCAAAATGCCACTCCTGATGCCGGAGAGGCCCCAAAGGACCAATCATGACCCCAGGGAGGCCCCAAAACGTCACCTTCAACCCTGGGGAGGCTCTAAAATGTCACTTCCAGCCCCAGGGAATCCCCAAAATGTCACCTTTAATCCTGAGGAGGCCCCAAAATGTCACCTCCAGCTCCAGGGGGACCCCAAAATGCCACTTCTGACCCCAAGGAGGCCTCAAAGCACCATCTCCAACCCCAGGGAGGCCCCAGAGAGCCACTCCTGACCCCGGGGGAGACCCCAAAATGTCACCTCCAACCCTGGGGAGGCCCTAAAATGTCACTTTTAATCCCAGGGAGGCCCCAAAACATCACCTTTAATACTGAGGAGGCCCCAAAATGTCACCTCCAATCCTGGGGAGGCCCTAAAATGCCACTCCAAGCCCCAGGGAATCCCTAAAATGTCACCTTTAATCCTGGGAAGGCCCCAAAATGTCACCTCCAACCCTGAGGAGGCCCCAAAATATCACCTTTAATACTGAGAAGGCCTCAAAATGTCACATCCAACCCCGGGGAGGACCCAAAATGTCACCTCCAGCTCCAGGGAGACCCCAAAATGTCACTTCTGATTCTGGGAAGGCCCCAAAGCGCCACCTGCAATGCTGGGGAGGCCCCAAAATGTCACCTTTAATCCTGAGGAGGCCCCAAAATGTTACCTCCACCCCTGGAAAGGCCCTAAAATGCCACCTTTAATCTCAGGGAGGCCCCAAAATGTTACCCCCAGCCCCAGGGAGGCCCCAAAGAGCCACTCCTGACCCCAGGGAGACACCAAAATGCCATTCCTGACCCTAGGGAGGTCCCAAAGGGCCAATCCTGTCCCCAGGGAATCCCCAAAATGTCACCTCCAGCTTCAGGGGGACCTCAAAAATGTCACCTTTAATCCTGAGGAGGCCCCAAATATCACCTCCAACCCTGGGGAGGCCCTAAAATGCCACTCCCAGCCCCAGGGAACCCCCAAAATGTCACCTCCAGCTCCAGGGGGACCCCAAAATGTCACCTTTAATACTGAGGAGACCCCAAAATGCCACCTCCAACCCCGGGGAGCCCCCAAAGCAAAGGCCAGAGGATGGAGGCACCAGCCCATACAGGAACAAGGTGCCAGAAACAACAAACAAAGAGAATCCAAACACCTTCCCTACACTGATCACCCCATTCCCAGCCAAAAAACACCTCCATCCCTGGGGAAACACATCCATGCCCATCCCTGACCCAGCTTGGGGTCTCAGATACTTTATCAGAGTGCGGTTTCTGATATTTTACTTGGTTTTGAAATCCTCCACGAGGTCCTGCATGTTTTTGAGCTCTCCCTCGAGGCGTCCCTTGTCCGCCAGGAGCCCGTCCAGCTGCCGCCG